TACAGAAATATCTTGTAGAGCTGGGCACAATATAAGAAAAACACTAGAAAGTTGGACATCATAAAGGCTATAAAAGGAATATTTTGTAAATCACACATTTATTAACCCTTAAAACCCTAGAAGCCATCAGAATTTAATTTCTCCTTACATTAATACTATTGAATCACTCATTGAGATCATGAGAAAAGGAGGAAATGATCTCCAACCTAAGACGCTTTGTTAAACAAATTCTCCTGGTCCATACCAAAGGAAATGTATAGAAAAGACTAACAAGAATATGGATACTGATATTAAGGCATAAAGGATTATGCAATTCCCCTAATGAAAGATAAATTAGGTAACTCAAAGGTGCACATTCTGACTAACATACAACAAATTTTAGGAACATTATGTAGTTAGTTTCCAAACTCTGAAATCATTTATTTAAGATAACAATTTTGTTATCTGTATAAACATATACTGTACCTGAGGGTTTTACTGGGTCCACTTGAAACCTTTGCTCCTGGACCAGATTTAATTTGTCTTTTCATGGCAGCCATTACATTGTTTGTTTGCTTATAACCCTTGAAAACCTTTCTACTTCCTGGAAATGACATTAGAGTCATATTACTATACACATTGTAATTACATGACTACATAACATGTGAAGATGACTCCTTAAGGCATGCAGTACCTTGTAAAATGTTTCATGATAAGGAAACAAGAATATTTATTTCAACATCTCACCTTTCTTTGGTGTATTGATTACTTTTGTGCTACAAAAGAAAGACAAGGCCAAGAATTGTTGCCATCTCATATTTTAAGATTCCTTTTAACAGGCACTTACAAATACATTATATTAAATACCCATTTATTTCATTACTTGGGATGAGATTAACTACAGGTGAATGCTAGGACTTGTTTGAAATGACCTCAACTTTGGAAGGGAAATCACAGCCCTGATACCTTTGCATTCCAAAAAATTATGAAAAATAAACCTATCCTATCTATTTTGCAGGTTATAGACCTCTAGCTATGCTTTATGAACTAAAAAGCCCTATTACCCACAGACAATCTGAGATTTTCATGGTCCTATAAAAACCAAAGAGACAAATAATTTCACCTACATCTAAGAATTTAAATGAACCCTTAAATTTCCAGAAGTGTTTAACATGCAACTTCATGAAGTAGTAACCAAGAGACATTTCCTGTGTACATATCATGCAGTAAGCAAGGAGGAGATGGTTGGGATCAAAGTGCCAGATAGTTTCAATTGATAGCTGTTTATTTGCATGTTTGTTTTTCTTTCAAGCTACAGCTAGCTTAGAAACTGGCATTCCACAAATTTAGGTATAAACCCTTAAACTCCCTAAGTGACCAAAACAGAATTACTCCTCACAATATCAATACAATATCAAGAAGACAAGTTATGAGAATTAATAAAAATATCAATAAGGGATTATTACTTGATCCAATATCAACTTCTCTGAACTAACATCATAAGAATTGTTCAGAAGACAGTATAAAGAATCACTAGAGATAACAAAAGAACTGAAAGAAGCTCCAAATTTGAAGCACCCTGAGTCAGATGGGGCCTGGAATAAGCCACAAATAAAATGAATTCACTTCCCAACCTTATTCCTTTCCTTTCTTCTTCAGCCTCTTTCATTCTTTGCTGCGTCATCTGGTAACTATCATCTGTAGCTCTGACAGTAATTTTGTGGGTAACTGCTCCCAGGGTTCTGATGTCACTACTTCCTCCAGACTGTTGGATACAATCCATTCCACCCTGCTGTCCAGCAGACAAGATTGCTGAGCAATCCAGCTGAAACTCTGCTGTGTTTTCATCTCCTGAATCAGCCTTGCCAAGCGGAATCAATATTGACTGAAGAAGGCAAAAATATATTAGATAATAAAAATTACTTTCTTTTGGTTTGGCAATTGAAAGCCAATTGATAAGACAAGTCATTAATTTAAAGTTCAACCAGAAGTTGCAAAACTAAATTACAAGTCAGAAAAACAGGTTCCCATGGAGAGAGTTCTATAGAGTTTAAATGCCAGTGGTGTCTTTCTTAAAAACACAACAAGCATGATGACTCCAGAGTAAACCCGTCAATTGAAGCTGTAATAAATGAATGCCCTGGACAATTGTATCCAACCATACCAGCATGACTTCTCACCCCTCGACTCATTTCTGGATTTTGGTCAGTTTCTCTTTCTGTCCAGGCCTGAAGACTAACTCAAGATCTGATGGAGTGATTCCCTCCAGGTCCAATACAGTCATTTACAATTTTGTCTTTAATTCATTTGAAGAAAACGCTTATGAAACAATTTATAGACACAGACTTGCTATTTATAGTAATAGACTTTGTCAGTCACCTTACATGTGTTGAATACAGCTGTAGGATATCAAAAATACACTGCAATGTTCTAATAGCCCAGCTTCATATCATATCATTACCATAAAAAAAATTGATACCTTGAAGCTCGCTAAAACCTAAAAGTATACAGAACACTTTTTGAAGCAAATCAAATATATTTTTAACAGCCAGCCCTGTAATAATAAGCTTTGCTTATTAAATTTAAGCAAAAGCTATAAGAAAAATACATTTGAATTGATGATCAAAAAAGCACTGAATTTTGTTCATTCGAAAATAATTGAAGAGGATGTAAGTTTCCCAGGCTCTCGGTGATTATAGAATTTTTGGTGTCGAAAAATATAAAAATAATAACAATAATAACATAGGGTTGATTTAAACAATTTTTGACACGAACACTCTTCCCTCTGTGTGGTCCAAAAGTTCAGTGAGAATACAAGTTGGTTCGTGTTCACTTTAGGTACATATCCATGCAGTTAAACATTGTTTTCTGTTTTACATTCACGTTAAACGAACAAAAAGATCTCAGAGATACTCAAAGCCTTTCAACAAACAATAACCCATATAATTTGCCTTGGGGAAGATTTACGCTTAAAATAAACTTCTGACTTAGAAACAGGACGTAGGATTCTACAGTGTAAGAATCTATAAATACAGATTCTACAATCGATCGATGGTTCGAACTGCAAACATATAAACTTTCAAGGGCAGGCGGCTGTGTATACATTCTCGAGTACAGCAGGTTTTCACTGTGTCTGAATTAACATCTGCTACTATGATTTATTCATTCTCGAGCTGACTAACTCATAATTATGACCGAAGATGATCAGGAAAAACAGAATTAAACACAGATGACGAGAATGAGTGAATAAAAAAAACATCGCGAGATTTAAGGCCAAAAACTTACCCCCTGATATCCTGAAAATTTTATACTTGGCTTTCTTCTTGGGGACACCTATTAAACGATAAAAATGACCAAAAAATGAATAAAATCAGGGAACACTAGAGAAAGAAACAGCACAGAGTCAATGCCTTGCGTTCATCGTATCGCAAACAACTGATAAAAAATAAGTCGCGCTGGCAAGATACTAGACGACTATACCTCGGCCAATTGATAGTCTTCTAACGCTCGTAGACAAGAGTCCGTTAATTTCACGTGCATTAGAAGTTTGTTATTGCTTGATTCTGCTCGGGATATAAGGTTGTAAGAAGACTTCGGCTCCAGAACAATGGCCATGGCATTTTCTTTCCGAGAAACCCAACAAACTCCCACTTCATTGGCGAGCAACATCCGCTAAGAATATTTTATTGCGCCTGTCTAATATATACCACAGATCCACAGATCTAAACAATTCTATTTGACCAAATATGGAGTACCGGAAGTTTAAACGAACTCGATGGAACGCATCGAGATGAGGCTACAGCACGTGCTTCCGCCACAGTCGAGAGTATTGGGTACCAGACTAGGAACCAGGACCAAGCGCAATTTTAAGTTGGAATGTGGATGAATCCCCGAGTTATTGTTATGACCCAAAATTCACTCTTTTTATCCCTCACTTTATCACTCCACCTTTACTCTTGCTAACTTTTTGGTACATCCGCTAAGTAGCGCCTAAAACTTGCGCGTATACTTGATATTCCCAGCGACGAATAGGTGTCGAACACACGCCCCCCTATTAGAATTCCGTTAGCATAATTCAGGCCATCAGTATAAGCGGGACGAGTGGGACGAGTCGAGTGAAAGCGAGAGATAATTGAGAATGCATTGTGGAGAGTTTTAGAGCTTGGAAGGACAGTTCCTTGTTCCCAGACCCCGCTGGGTTTAAGTTGGCTCGCCCGTATTTGAGCGTGGTCTAGTCTGGGCCAGACGTAGCTGTAGGTTAGCGGAAATTAGCGCGAAGAAAGATTCATGAGAAGCGGCGGGGTCAAGCAAAAAGGGGAAACTACAGCCGTTACCTTGACAACCATCATGACCGCGGTTTGTCGTTCGCGCGCTCTTAAGCTCGTATTTACTGACTAAGGGTCTGGAACAGGATTTTTTGCAACCACTCACCCGGGTTCAATGGACAAACAGCCTTCCTACGAGTAGTTTTTATCTATATACTGTTGATGTGATGCTTCAGAAAATCGATCAAATTTTTTTTTCATTTAAGAAAGGTCTCACCAAAGTTTTGTTCTAGATCATATCGCTTAACCCTTTAACTCCCACATCAAATTTGTAATTCTCCTTACTATCAACCATACAATTCTTATAATGTTAGTTCAGAGAGTTAAGTATTGGATCAACTTATTATCCCCAAATTGATATTTTTCTTTATTCTCATCACTCATCTGGTTGATGTTGTAAGGAGAAATTCTGTCTTGGTCACTTATGGGAGTTAAAGGGTTAAAGAGAAAAATGTTATTTTCGAATTATAAACTTAAGGAGAAGAAATCATTAACCTCCATGCTAAGAGCTCTGCAAAAACCGCCTCTGCACGAGGAAATCAATGGGTTTAAAGTTGCGAATGACTATGAAAACGACAGTCGAACAGATTTTGCATAGGAAACAGAGGGTCGTATTCTACTGGTTGTCTGCTGCGATTATCGTATGACATATGCTCAGAGAAACTCAGACAAACGAAGTGATTGGCTTTATTTTTGGAGGAAGGCACTAAAGAACAAGGGCTTGGTAAGTATTGTCTATTTTCGAACACCTGACAGAGCTGTAATCTCTCCACAAAGCCAGGCGGTAGATGAAGGAGAAAAGAAAACTACTTTTAAACGAACATGTAAACGTAGGATTACTAGCTAGTGAAATTTTTATTTTAGTGGAAAGCAAGCCGACATTGCTATGTCTTCACTGGGGTCATTGAGTAGTCAATCTCTCAACCAATCAAATGCAAGCTAAAATCAAGTGACTTGGTCACGCGCGTTGCCCGCGCTTCAGGCAGTTTGCGTGTTTTTACTTTAAGTTCTCCTTTCAAGAAGTTCTGTCAAATAATGCAATTCATTTACCAAGGTCAGTCAGGTCTTCCCACTGGTCCAAAGCGTCTATAGTCTGGACCAAAAAATGAATGAAATCAAAAGGTCAGCTACAGTTACTCATGCGAGAGCAGAAGCGGTGAGGAAAAAGTGGAAAGAAAAGTAACAGACGCGGACAAAAACTTTACAGTAAGTACACCATATGCATGTAATTCTCTGAAGTGAAATTAAAATCAAATGGGTCAAACATAAGAAACAACGTTTGGTTATCTAAAAGTATATGGTATACACAAAATCAGTGAAGGATATGCGACGAATAATGTACACAGAAACAACTAAGACGGCGTGGCAACAATACTACTGGTGTCAACACCAACCTTAAGAAGGGCAACAGCATTTCGAAGAACCAAAAGCGGAGGAGCCACGGGAGCTTTGGACAAGAAATCACTTATTGACGTGTTTGGTGATGCTAAAAGTTTTGTGTGAAGACATAATTCCTACAAAACAAAAACAACAGTAATACAATTGAAGCTCCAACTAACACTACTTCTCTTCTTCCAAATGGAACTTTGGGTGATGACCTAAAAAGATAAACATAAAAATTTCCCTCAAGACATTGGCAAATGCTTCAGTGAAGACTGCCTTCACTCTTAAATTTACTTGGAGAAAGGTTAAAGCTGCAGAGTTCATAATGCCTTTCCACCCCAATGCCAGTATACATATTTTCCATGATAGTGTTCTCTAAGTGTAGATTTCCCAAGGTGCTGCAAGGAGAACTTGTTTAACAGTCAAGAGCTTCTTGAGTTGGTGATCATTTCATTTATTCTCATAAGTCTAATGTGTGATGTTTCAGGAATGATATTGTGAGGAGAAATTGGATTCTAGTCACCCTTAGAAGTAGACTAGGGTTATAACATGACATGATACCAACACCTTTCCCAAATCTCATCAACCCTCTACAAGCTTATTATACTCTCTAAATCCATTTTCAGTTGAACTATCAACAAGCTAGATGAATAAATGCAGGGAAATTCAACACCTGGGGTACACAATAGCTTGTGAAGCAAACTAATCAGAATCATACTTTTAATTGTCGTACTCGCAAAGATGGTTCAAGAATTTGGACAACATTGCTGTGTTCCCATTTCTTGGCCCAATCTGTTGCAGTCTTGGGGGAGAGAAATTGTGGACATAAATTTTTTGCATGATTTATTTCAGCAACAAGACCTTGGACACATTTGATGGTATAGGGTATAGAAAAAAAATTTTTCCCCACCATCCATTCTTGGTTCCTTAATACAAGGATTGTTTCCTAAACTCAGCAACCATTGAGGTAGTGTTTAGAAAGCAAGTGCGAGGGTTTGATCATTGTTATAATATACCCCACTTCCAGTGGATGTGATTGACTTTTAATACTGTAGGGTCTTGTGATTAGAATATATTGCATTTCAAACTACACTCTGCAGTGTGTGCATCTTCATACAATTGTGGTATCCAAATATTAAAAAAAGAAAAAGGAAAGCACATGGCTGCTTTGGCCGAGTGTTTTTATTTGTTTCAAGATGTTTGGATACAACAATCAAGCCCAAAGCACAAGTTTTTTAGATTGTTTCTCAAACTGCCTTTATTAATTATCACCTAAACAGTAACACTATTGTTACATTCTTTTCATTGGTTGCATAATTTTGAACATCATTATCAGCTATCTGATTCATCTGTTGTCTCTGTTTGGGTTTCTTTGGGGAATTCAAAGTGTATGCTGAATTTATGGTAGTGTTGCGCTCATTTAGTTTATAGCTCTGTGGTTAGTTGGAGCTTGATTTAATTGGCAGAAAGTAATGCAGTTAACTGTTTTCATGCCCCAAAAAGTGGTAAAGAGGAAGGTTAAACTGCTTAAGGAAACTGTTCCTAAATCAACAGTTATAGAGACTAGTTTTTCTTTTTTAGCATTTCATGCTATGCGTGAATCTAGATATGTTTTTTTCTTGGACATATGTAGATTCATGCATGTGACAAAATAAAGATATGTATTTTTGTTGAGTATCTAGATTCATGCATGTGACAAAATACTTTCTTCTCATTGGCTGATAACCTGAATGATTGATGGATTTGAAACAACACCAGCACAACCTCATCCTGATGCAACCATCAGGGCAGCAGCCTGCATGTCTGAGTGTTGGCAGTCAACTGCAGAAGTTCTTTCAATAGTGTTCTAAAGCACAGCTTGTATGATCATGAGAGAGGAGAAGGCTATGCCTCAATAATCACAGGGGAATCATGTTTGGAAATTTCACACCCTGGCTAGCTCATTCTGTTGTGTTTTTGGGTGAGAAATGTAACTCTCTCAGGGCTCCTTTCCACCAAGGAGAGGTGGGAAGACTACATTGGACTAACATGCCTGTCCTGAATACACAGTATATGTATGGTGCATGCCAAAACTATGAACAAGGAAGAATGTTATATCTTGCAAACTACTTACCCCTGATGTTTTCATGTATGATCAAGTAAAGAATCTGAAAAAAAGGGCCCTCATCACCATATCAAGACAAAAGTATAGGTTACCCTAATTTCTTACTGACTTTTACTTGATTTTAAGTTTTAGTTTCATCTTTAAGAGTAAAAAGAGTTCACACTTTACATGATTGTTTAATGTATTTACACTTGCATTTGGTCATTCCTCTGAAATGCTGTTATCCATTTCTTGCCTTAGATATTGTTTGTCACTGTCACTTTCCATGGGGATTAAAAGGAATAATAGTTAATATGAATTTAATGATGAAATCAGGTTTTTTTTTTACTCTTAACATACGGTTAAACCTACATTATCTTGGTTATCATTGTCATCATTTGCCAGGCCTTGCAAAGCATTATCACCATTATCCTGCTGAAGTTTGATTCCTCCCACAGCTTCATCCAGCTCTTCAATGTCTCCATCATCAACTTTATCCTTGATCTCCTCAATAACTACATCATCCTCCCCTTCCTGAACAGAACTGAGACTGATCAAATGAAACAAGAATTGCCAGAAAATCATGACAAAGCTTCAGATGAGCTGTTACTTGAGGACACTTAATTGTAAACCTAAAATTGTATCTTTGATATTTTTGGAGAATTTTCCAAGTTCATTATCATAAAAATGCCCTCAAGGGAATTCTCATGGTCATAAAAATAACAGTCAGATTCAATCTTAGGGATTCTGAACACAATCCAAGTCACATTAGGAGACTATTCTAGTGAGATACCATTTAAACATCAACCAACCAGGTGCAAATATCCCAATAATCATCTGAGTTTAAGATGACACATCAGCACCCAGGTTTCTTAGGGAGACATCAGGCAGAGACTTTTTAATTATTTAGGAAGGGTTTGAAAAGTTCTGAGAACATCATTTTCATGGAAAACATCATTTGAAATCAGTTTAATATTTAAGTGCAGTGTAAATAAAATCCTAAAGCAGTGTGCAAAGCTGCATCACTTGTAACAATATCAAGGTAATACTAGAATCAAATTACTATACTTCATAGCTGCCACTTTGTCACGCCACACAACATGAATCTCCTAGTTGACATTAGGGTCAGTCTTCTTTGGTCATATTTTTTTTTAGAGATGTCTGCATTGTATCTTGTCTATCTTCTATTCTGAGGGCAGATTGAATCTTAAAACCACAAGTTTTATCTTGCTTTGTGCAGTGAAATACAAAGATAAACGAGATATTTCCGTCACGAAAGAGATTCATCACAAATGTCTAAAAATAGTGAGGTAAAATTTCTGGGACAACTGCACTCCTACCCCTTCTTTAACCAAACAACAGTCAACTGATAATAAGTTTGGGTTAGGGGAGGGGTAAAGTGCTCAGTTGTTTGGATACGGACACTGATCCAAATTTCTCAATAGGTCTTGATTAAAACTGCTCAGACCTCTGCAGTGTAATCAAGCAAATTTATTCTATTCAGGCCTCATAAGCTTCCCAGGTGAAAGCAGTAAAAGCGTGTATTACTGGTTACTGCGATCGCGTGACTGTTTGATTCCCAAGTCACGCGATCAGGATCAGATTCTCCCCAGTGTCTGCTCGTCCAGAATCGATAAATTCCTCAACCAAAATGGTCGTAAACAATTGTGAGATGTTGTTATCCAAATGTGCCCAGTTTAAAGAAGAGAGGCAATTCATTGACGTTCGTCTAAAAGTGGGTGAAGACATCTTTCCAGTTCATCGTATTGTTCTGGCTGCAAATAGCGATTACTTCTACGCCATGTTTACAAATGGAATGAAAGAAGCGAATCAGGAAGAAGTCGAGTTAAAAGATGAAAGTATTTCACCTAATGTTTTGAAGATCATAATGGAATCCATCTACACTGGAGAGTTTCAGGTCAACGAAGATAACGTGTTTGAAGTCCTTGCAGCAGCAGATCATCTTCAAGTGACGACTGTTGTTCAAAAGTGTTGTGATTTCTTGCTAACTGAGTTTGTTAAACTTCGCTTTGATTTTGAAACCTACTCGCGTATCTGGGAAATCGCTCACAGCCATGGCCTTAAGAATCTGCAAGACGCTACTGAGAGTGAAATGGCTAAGATGTATAAAGATGTCTGTGAAAGCCAAGAATTTTTGGCTCATATTGGCGGAGACCAGTTACTCAGCCTCCTTAGTCGTGATGACCTCAATGCACATTCGGAGA